TCATTATTGTTCTCACTGTGGCCACCACTATCCCCTCATTTACCATAAACAGGTACCACTCTTATCAATGTGACCATTATTGTTGTCTTTACCACTACCAATTATTATCATTGTCACTACCTCCATGCTCATCAACCACCAAGATTATTGTACTACCACCCTCATTATTGCCAATTCCACAACTACCACCACAATTAATTACTACTATTACCATTATTGTTGTTACAATGACTATCCCATTTATTATTTCTTTTACTTTCATTGTTGTCTCTATTTTTATTATTGTCACTATGATCATCCACTGTCACCATAACCAATGCACTGTCAAAATTAGGATTATTACTTGCATCATTATCATTACCACCATGATTATTAATTGTCAACATCATTATTAGTGTCTTTATTGTTATTTTTTAATCACCATTGTTCATAACAAATAAATCATATTATGTAATTTGTGATTTGTATATTTTTAGATTTAAAAATTAATTTTAAAACTAAAAAAGATATAAAAATTGAAATCCAAATTATAAAACTAAAAATTAATTTTAGATTTTAAAATTTTCTAAACTTAAAACTAATATTTACTACAAATAGACTTATAATTATTCTATTTTTGTTATATAAACAAGTTATTATATTCCTTTCTCTTTCCTAAAAGACAAGTAATTAATCACTTCCTAATTAACATTAATGTCAAATTTGTACATTTACATCAATTAATAACATTATATAATACAAGATTAATCAATTGAACTATCGATTTGAATATTTTTATCAAATAGACTAACTTTATAAAATTTTATAAAAAAACATAATTATTAATTATTTTATTGCATTACTTTATTTCAATGGATAATATATTTTTAAAATATAAATTTTAAATAACATATTTATAAATGTTCTAATTACATGAAATTTGATATACATCGTCAGAAATATAATAAAAGATAATTTAATAATTTAATTAATTTATATTTTGTAAAATATTATTAAGTAATATAAATTTTAAATTTGCCACTAATTTCAATGAATGCATGTAAATATCATGCAAATTAGGTAGCTGGTCAACGTAGCTGTGATGATTCCAAAAAAAAAAAAATCAAGTCATTGTTAAACGATATTTTTAGATTTTGTTTAATAAAACTAATTAAAAATTATGAGTTTGTAACTTCTAATTACGAAACTAACTGAAAGCTATGAATTCGAGAAAAGTTTATAATTATATAAGTAGTCTATCAAATTAAAGTGTTTGACAAATTAGCTACAACTGACTAATTTATGTTAAATGACTTAAAAAAGTATATTATATTATATTATATTAATATTAAAATTACATATAATTTATTTTAACATATTTTATTAATAAAAATAATATTATTGATACAAATAATAACTTAAATTTATTTTTAATATTATTTATTTTGATATATTATATTAATAAACATTATATAAATTAATTTAAATAATTCAATTTTTAATTTTAAAATTATATAAAAAATTTAATATATTTTAAAAATATTTTAAAAATAGAAAAGAAAGAGAGAAAGATAATAAAATAAATTAAAAACATTTTAAAAAAGATAATTGTTATATTTTTTTAACTTAATTATATTCTTAAAATAATACAATAATCCAATAAAATAAAATAAAATACATAACTGATAAATTAGTTATAGCTCTAAAAACATTTGATTGAAAAAAATATACGACATAATATTTTATCTTATCTATTTTTATCCAAACCAACGAATAGAAGTTTTAATGTTACTAAAATAAATGATCTTTCGTATTCTTTACACGTACTTAACTGGTAAGCAGGACCGAATCTTACTTGGGACGATTTATAATGTTGCTTAACCTTTATGCTTTATAATATTTATCAACGAATTTAATTATAAATACACTTTTAGTTGTGGAAGCTAACGTTTCCATAATGACGTGGGACATAAGTTGGAATTATAGGTATAAAATGTGAAAGAATAAAAAGTGACAAATCAACAAGGTAATCAAAAATGTAATCCTAAATCACACGCTAGTGTCATTTAAACTTTTGGGTGGATTATAAAAATTATAATATCATTAGTAAAAATATCACATCATTCGTTGCCCAACTCGTATGAAGTCCTTTCTGAAATTTAGCACTGCTCGTATAATAAATATTTTTTTTACAAACAAAAAAATTATCTTTTTACACATATTAGGCTTTGTTTGAAAATTTAGAAGAAGAAAAAGAAAAAGGATTATAAGAGAAAACAAGGAAGAGGAAGGGAGGAGGAAGAAAATTAAATTCTTCCTTTGTTTTGATATTTAATATTAAAAAGGAATGATAATAAGAGAGTTTAATTATATAAATGATATTATTATTTTTTATATTTTTCTTTCTTTAAAAATTCTCATTTAAAAAACTAATATTAAATAAAAAAAGTTAAAATCCTAATTGTAAAACCGTATAAAAGAGTAAAAGAAAGAGGTAAATTCTACGATGCTCATAAAAATGATAGAATATTTTATACTTTTATATATGTAAAATAATTATAATCATTGATTTTAATAGTAAAATTAGTGATATATTTAAAAAAAAAATAATTATAATAATTTTAAAAAAATTATTATGACTCGATAATACTAAAAAAGTGCACGAAAAAATTACTGATTAATTAAATAATACTCTCAGATGAATAAAACAGAAAATTGATTGCTCCTACAACTGATTCATCCATTGTATGTAAGCACAGTGATCAAATAGAAACAAAGAATCATAAAAAAAATTAGTGGACTATTCCAGTAGTTCCACCTTGACGATTTCGTTTTAACTTTGAAATATTCAATGAATATTCAAACATAATATTTAAGTATTAAATTGAATTGAATAATTTGAATAGTCGAATTGGTCCTAGAACTTTCAAGCCAACAGCCAAGTTTATCGCAAAAGGGTTTACTCATTCCACATTTTGTTTTGGGTTACGCTAATTATCTAAAATGTATTAGTACATGTTGTTCTTTTCATTCGTGTAAAATAAAAATTCCAAAGTATATTTTATCTTTTCTTTTTCTTTCAGAGTGAAAATTGTGTAATAAAAATAAATATATAGACAACTGATTTAAAAAAAATAAAACTAGAGTATTTAATTGTTATAAGAAAAATAAGAAATGATTGTTCATAAATTAACTCAACTAAGCAGAAGAAGCAAAAAGACTTTTCACCTTGACATTTAGCATCATAACTTACTTATATAAACTTAAAAACCTTTGCCAAATATGATTTGGTTGGCAAAACATTCTAAATACATTATTTGATTAAAATAAAAGTTAATAACAAATTTTTTTTTTAGTTTTTCTTTGATATTGAATAAAATTTTATGTTAATCCAATAGAATAATCTGGACTCAAACTTCCATTAATTTTCAACCACTAACATTTCTTATTAATTATTTAGCATGAATAATAAGATTTGAAACTCACATATAACAATAACTAAAGAGTTGTTGAGGAAGAGAGGTTATAGAGAGAAGGAGAAGGAAAGGAAAGGAGAGGGGAGAGGAAGGCATAAATTTATATTTTATATAAATATATTTAAAATTAATATTTTTTAAACATAAAACATATAAATTAATATAATAATAAAAATTTAATATATTAATGATGTATTTCTCATCATAAATAATATATAATTTTTTAATTTTAAATTAAAAAATATGTTTTCCCCTTCCTCTATTTTCAAAAACTTCTTGCCAAATATACCCTAAGACTTTTACTAACAGATAAAGGTAAAATTAATCACATAAATCATATGATATATTAAGCTTAATTAAAAATTAAAATTTATAAAATATTATTAATCATCAATTTTTAAAAAATATTTTTTAAACATTCTTTTAAGTTTGTTTCTATCTACTTTTATTAAACTAAAAATTTGTATTATTTAATTTTTTCATTAGTTCATTTAGTGTCCTTTGCTTGTGTCTAATCCACTTAATTATAATTACTAATTTTATTTACTTGAAGTTGCTTGTTTAGTTAATTGTTTCACAATTATATTTTGTAAAAATATTTACATAAAATCATCTTAAATAAAAATACTCAAATGAAATCACCTTATATAAAGATATTCAAATCAATCTAGCTTAAATAAATATACTGAAATTAAATTACCTTAAATAAGACATTTAAATTCAATAATTAAAATAATCTAAAATAAAGATCCTCAAATAAAATTACCTTAAATAAATACTATATAAATTAAATTACTTTAAATAAAAATACTCAAATCAAACCAATAAAAAATAATTTATATTCTCTTCTTTTAACATCAAATACATAAATACTTATTTTAATCATACGGTACAAATCTCATATACATAAATTATATTAATATCTAAAACATAATAAACCTACCGTTCTGTATCTTAAATAAACAAGCATTTGAATTAATATATATTAAAAACAATATGACAGAATGTATGTAGTATAAAACTTGAGTATAATGGTACAGGTTATTTTAATTAAATTCAGAGTCTCATTTAATAATTATAAAATAAAATATAATATTAAAAAATATAATTTATTAAAATATAATTTTAATTAAATAACCAATACAAAAACATTTATATTATTAATTATTTCTCAAAATACATTAAAAAATAATAATTTAGTTTTATAACTTTATTTTTATTTTAGTCGAGTCTTTTAGTTTTGTGTTAAATCTAATTTGGTTCTTTATAATTTTTATCCTTTATCTTTGTATTTAGTTTTAATTTGATCTTATTAATCAATTATAAAAGTTTTCAACCGACGTAATTGATAAATAAAAAATAACCTGAAACTGAACAAAAAGATAAAATAAAATAAGAGGAGAAAACAAAATCTTTTAAGAAATATTAACTTTATAAAAAAAATTACATTCAGGATAATTAAAAAACTTAAAATTGGAAAAAGAAAATGTAAAAAGAAGTGGAAGAAAGAATAGATAAATGAGAAAAGAACAAAGAATAGTCATGAAAAAACATTGGGGAGAAAAGCCAAACCAGCCACCAGCGTAAAGTTGCATGTATGTATGTATCCCCATCACGCTCGCTCTCTCTCTCTCTCTCACCCCGCCATAGCATCCAAACGCCATCGCAGATTCAACAGTTATCGTTCACATAAACCCTAATCCCATGCCATCCAATCCCGATCCCAATTCAGCCTCAAATTCATCTTAACCCCCCAACACCACAAAATCAAAAGGAAAAAAAAGTGTTTTTCCAAACCAAAATTCTGAGAGATAGAAAGAAAGGAAAGAGTGTTACAGTGGAGGAAGTAGTAGCGAGCGAGAGAGAGAGAAATGCCAAGTGTGGCCGTGAAGCTCTATAGCGTGTTCTTCAAGTTCCTCTTGAAGCACCGTTTGCAGAACCGGATTCAAACCCAATCCGAAAACTCCGACCCGTTTGGCGTCACCACCCGACCTGAAGAATCCGTTGCTGCCGCTAATCCCTCTTTCGCCGACGGTGTTGCCACCAAGGATATCCACATCGACCCCTTAACCTCTCTCTCTATTCGAATCTTCCTTCCCGAATCAGCACTCATCCCTCCCGAACCTCAGTCCAAACCTTACGCACCTCCCAAGCCTAGGTCCAACCTTATCTTTTCTAAACCCGATCCTGAACCTGGATCTGCACGCCTCGATTCCATTTCGCGCCGCAATAGCTATGGCCCCCCGCTCAGGGAAGACACCCGTAGCAACAGTTTCAGAGTCAGCAACGGCGTCGAGGGATTGAATTTGATGACCGGCGGCGTTTACCGGGGATACTCGCCGGCGATGGGAGATCGCCGGAAACTGCCGGTGGTGCTGGAGTTCCACGGCGGTGGGTGGGTTAGCGGGAGCAACGATTCCATCGCGAATGATGTTTTCTGCCGACGGATCGCGAAGCTCTGTGATGTGATTGTGGTCGCCGTCGGTTATCGGCTGGCGCCAGAGAATCGGTACCCGGCGGCATTTGAGGATGGCGCGAAGGTGCTGAATTGGCTTGCGAAGCAGGCGAATTTAGCGGAGTGTAGCAAGTCCATGGGGACTGGAAGGGTTGGAGGTGGTGGTGGGGAATTTAAGAAGTCAGATTCTCATAAACACATTGTTGGTTCCTTTGGAGCTTCAGTGGTTGAGCCTTGGTTGGCTGCACATGCTGATCCTTCAAGGTTCTCACTATTTCATGATTATGTTGAATTATATGTTGATTATCTGATTCTATTTGATTTAGCATTTCAAAATTTGGGTTTGAAATTTGTTCTTTTACTATCCTTGTCGCCAAACTGCATTCTTTATTATTTTAGGTATTTTTTATATGTGAATCATTTATATTTGTTGCCTCTTCTAAATATGCACAGCAGTTCATTAGAGAGTGTGAAGTAAGGTATGTTTAAGGGTCCCTGAATTGGGGAGGGGGAGTCCACAAATAAAAGTGGGAAGTGAGTGTTGATCACCCTATGATTTTGATTGTTGCAAGTTTAAGATGAAGTCAAAATATTATGTCGATTACTCAGTTGCAATGGGTTTGGATTATATATATGGTCTAATAAACAACTAGCACTCCTGGATGACAGTTATCATGGACTTTGTTTTATATATTTGGAAAGGGCTCATTTTTATGGTAGTTTTTATATTTGCAGCAACAATTTGTTACTTGATTTTTGGTTTTACTAATTTCCATCTGAATTGTGATCTATGTCTATCATATTCCTAGTTGTGCTAGGATCACGTTTTTGTGCATTTTCTCATTACAAACAGATAGATCTGATTTGTATTTGAGGTGGGGATTCCCGCAATGTCATAACTCATTAAAGACTAGAGAGAATGGATTTCTCCACTATTGTTTATATTAGAATTATGCATCCCTTTCCATTTTAGGTAATGTGATTTTGCTTGATGGTGCTGGTTTTTTTCGCTTTGGAATGTGTTTTTAGGTCAGTTATTAACTTATTTAACAAAATATGTATGCTGAAAAATCAAAACACATTTAAAGAGAGGTGGTAAAATGATATCGCATGCCAGCTATTCTTCTGATGGAGAAGGTACTGTTGGCTGGCACAGGTTATTCTGCACTACTGTTTAGGGAATTAGAGGCTTTTGATTCTTTTACTTTGTTTATTATTGTCAGTATCAAATTTCAGTTTTCCTACAATGGTAGGAGCCTAGGGCACCTTTCTATATTAAACTTTCAGTTGTCTGCCACCCTATTTCAACTATACCTTCCATACTAAACTGATTCCTTGAATTTCTTCTTTAACAACCATGATATTTAATCTTGAAGCTTGGTTAGGGAATCTTTAACAATATTTGCCTCCAAATATCATGATTTTTTTTCTTGAAAATAATGTTTTTCAATTAATAAATCACCATTTATTAGAAGACATATTTTACTGCTGTTAAAACTAATTGTGTGAATTGAGAAGATGATTGTTTGACCATGAGTTGAGCTATTATACCTCCTTTGGGCATGTTGGAACATATTGGGATATAATGATTTTCTGAAAGGAAAATTTCTAATATTCTTTGAAAGTTATGTAGAAATATAACCATTCAGATCTAATTTAGTAATATTTTATTTTTGAGCCAATGGAATGTATGGTTATATTGTTCCACGTTACATTTTTAGTGAAGTGGTGCAATACTCTTAGAGAACCTAAGAATCTCTCCTCCGAAAGGGCTGTTGTATGTGTGGATTAAAAACTATGCTGACATCATACATTGCATAGTAACAATTTTGTAGATATGCTTTGGTATTGTGGGTCACATTAACTTCTTCCTGTCATGCTTCAAGTAGAAAGATAATTCTCATGGAGTTGCGTACTTCCCTTGTTCAGTGTTTAACCTTTTTATTTCTTTAATATTGAAACAGATGTGTTCTTCTTGGAGTGAGTTGTGGTGCCAATATTGCGGACTACGTTGCTCGGAAAGCTGTGGAAGGAGGCAAACTTCTGGACCCTGTCAAGGTCGTAGCACAAGTCCTGATGTATCCATTTTTCGTTGGAAATGTTCCCACACATTCTGAAATAAAGTTGGCAAACTCTTACTTTTATGACAAGGCCATGTGTATGCTTGCATGGAAGCTTTTCCTACCTGAGGAGGAATTTAGTTTGGACCATCCAGCTGCTAACCCCCTTGTTCCAGGCCGGGGTCCTCCTTTAAAGTTGATGCCTCCAACATTAACAGTTGTGGCTGAACATGACTGGATGAGAGATCGTGCAATTGCTTACTCAGAGGAACTCCGGAAGGTGAATGTTGATGCACCTGTTCTTGAATATAAGGATGCAGTACATGAATTTGCAACACTTGATGTACTTCTCAAAAGCCCTCAGGCCCAGGTTTGTGCTGAGGACATTGCCATATGGGTCAAGAAATATATTTCACTTCGAGGTCATGAATTCTCATATTGACTAAGATATAGCAAATTAAGATGATGATTGGTAGGAAGATATTTAGCCCGACTTCAAAATTAGCTTCAGATCACACTTTTGCTTATATTACATGGGACCTGTGATATATTATTCGATTGGTTTGGATGCTTGATAAGGTGTTGGATATGGAATGAAATCGTGCTCGTGCCACCTGCCCAGTTCTTTTTGTAAGATAGAGTTGTCTGAGAGAGTAGGATTAGTTGAGAGTTGAGTCGGTGAGACGCATTCACCTCGTGCATATCTCGCTTGGCCATTCTTGTGCCATTCTTTCTTCTGTATTATGATGTCCTATTTTTCATGAAAAAATATAAAATTTAATGAACCATTCTTTCAGTGTGTGTGAATATGTGGAGTCTAACCCTAATCTAGTACCCTCCGTATGGTGTGTGGTTAGGGTATGTTTACCAGGCCATGCTGAGCCTTCGAACTTTTGTATTATAGTTTTTCCATTGAGTTTTATTAGCTGCATGGGTTCTAAGACAGCTTTCAATGTACTAACACACGAGTATAACTCTGTCCAATAAAATCTGGTCTCCTTTTCGCCTGAACTGGTTACTGCAAACTGTGTGGTGTAAGACTCTATGGAAGCGTTAAATCTCATCCAGAATTTTAACCTTCGACCCATAATTATGGCAATATTATTGTTGATATCCAGATGACACTCAGAATTGTAAGACTCGCCTGCCGCATGAGGAGGATAAATGTACAGAAATTAGAGTTTTTTGTTCGATAATACTTAAAAAGCCAGTGGCTAGGTTGTAACTTCTAGATGTTGTCTTTTTTTCCCCCCCTCTTGTCTTCCATTTTCCCCACACCAAAGAAATGAGAAAGTTTTGTTGGAGCTATAGTTAAATTTTATGCAGAAGCGAGTTCTAATTTTCCTTTATTTGTCCTTGTATATCTGTTCCACGATAAAATTAAGATTTAATATTGAAAAAGACTTCTGCAACTAAGTTACCAATTTTGTTAAATCCTAAGACAAATGTGCGGGCCAATGCTCTCTTAGTAGGCAAGCATTGTTGGACACAACCACGATGTTTTCCCCACAGACAACTGTTTCATTATTTTCTTCTTCTTGGTTGTTCTGTTTCAGATGAATTGGCGTCTTGCGTATAAATATGCCACGGCCTTAACATTATTGCCTCGGTGCCATTATCCCAAATATTTTGAGGGGATGGCCCCCACACTGGTTCTATGTCTGGGTGAGGGGGATGCATATGGAAGCTGAACCGAGATAGTGAAACTCTCACGAAATGAGGTCTTGACATGATTATAAGCATCTTCATGCTCATGTCATGTTCGGCCTATTGGCCTGAATATTGGAAGCATTTTGAGGGTAGGGGTAGCCACTCTATGGTGCATGCTCAGATTGATCATATAGGTGGCTGCTCTGTCGACTTTTCTTTAACCAAGAGTTCGAGGACTTGCACGAATCTTTGGTTGAGGAAAGTCTTTTTGTTACTTTAGAGCAATCTTGCAAAACAATCTGAACAAAATTATGTTATATGATAACCGAAATAAGTATTTGGAACGCTTTTCTTCTCAGTGCTGAGCTTTCTTAGCTGTATGCTACCTTTGCGTGAATGGAACACACCTACAAATATTGCCCTTTATTAAGTAGTATGCCTGCTTTCAATTCTTTGCGTATTTGGGCTTTTGAGAGCATTGTCAAATTAAAAAGAAAGTGTTTTATTCTCAAGCTCAGCAGTCATGAACCAGGCATGCATTAATTGGGTGTTTAGATGAATGCTAAAAATTCTTAAACTAAGTTTCAATATGTATATGTAATTTAAATTTTATGATAACATATATACTAATTTTATGACAAAATTTATTTTACTTTTAAATTGATGTTTTAGTTAATGTGATAAATTATAATTTTTCTATTAAATTAAAAATTTATATCAAATTTTATTATAAAATTTAAAAAAAATGTTTGTAAAAATAAATCACGTCACTTAAAATTCAAATTAAATAAAATAAAATTTATTTGGGCGTCATTTATTTTATTTTTGTTGTGACGTGTATTAGGAGACTAAGAATAATAAAAAGGCTGGCAAATGGCAACCATACTCAGAACAAGCTTTCATTATTGTGAGCGGTTCCACTGGTTAGCCACATTCTTAGGTAAACGCAATATTTGGGATTGAAGGGGAAGGTGAGACCTCTCCATCCCGTTTTAATGTGATAGTTTCGTCCCAGCAACTAACAGGTGGATATCATACTTCAATTGTGTTTGTCTCGTTAATGTGAAACTACTACTCTTCTCGCTTTATCATCGTTGAAACGTTTACATTCGTAACTTCGATTTTTCATTTTATGAGACATTTCAAATAGTTTATAAAAATTCATTTAGAATTTCATGCATTTTACATTATTTTATAAATATTTAAATTAAGCTGTTTACTTAAATTCACCCTTAACGTTGAAGTAACCAACTTTCTTAGAGATTGCATCCTTCAGTTGAGGCATGCAAATTTGAATTTAGGAGAACACGTAGAAAGAGAGGGTTAACTTTTAAGTAATTTTTCTATGAGAATATACAAAGAAGTGATTTTTTTTTATTTAAACTTTAATAAGTTTTTACTTATATTTGAAAATATTTTGAATCATTTAAATTCAAAATAAAAAAGCTAAGGATGTATTTTAGTCTTATAATTAATCTAGTTTTATGAATAACGAAAAAAATCATATTAAATATTATGTTCTAAAAAATTTAGAAGCAAAAATATTAAAATCAACGTTCGACACTAGCAGGGGTTACTCAGGTACGGGCTTGGTCCTATAATCATAGTCTGCTGTTAAACAGGTTAGGGATTACTTTTGCATCACCCTTTTTTCCTTTTTACATCTCTCTTTATTTATTTTTAAATATTCTAATTACAATTTAGAATTTAAAAATCTATTATACTTCTAGAAATTAAATTTTAAAAGTGTAAAAATTTATTTTAAAAAATTTAATTCTTAAAACTTTTAAATTAGAAATCTAAAGTTATGTTTCTAAATAGGTTTTGAAAATCATTGTAGAATTTAATTTGTAAAAAAGTAAGAGATTCACAGCTCTAGAACTTAAATTTTAGCATAATCCAAAATTTCATATAAAATAACGCAATAGAGACACAATTACACAAGTGACAAAAATATTTTTTGGATAGCTTTTATTTTTAATATATTTCTAAGATGTATGTACATGAAAAATAAATATTTGAAATAAAAATAATTATAAACATTATATATAATATTAATGTTTAATTGTTTAAATAACGTAATTGTATAAATGATGCTATTTTTAAATTATAACATGTTTAATCATGTCTTTAGTGTATTATTTTTTATTGAATTTTTTATTATTTAAAATTTAACTTCTGAAGTTATAAATCTTATGCATTCGAAAATTAAATTTTGAAAGGGTGAAAATTAATTTTTAAATATTTAATTTCAGAAGCTTATAAATTATAATTCTAAAATTATGTTTCTGAAACAAATTTTACATTTCTGGAATTTAATTTTCAGAAACATAATTCCAGAATTATTCCAAACTTAGGAATGTTTTTTAAATAAAAAATATAAAATAAGTATAATAAAAATAATTTGTAACGGATTAATCTACCTAAGTTCAAAATTTAAATGGCCAGGAATAACTGGGTGCACATAAAGCCCGCAAAGTAGCTATATAACAACATGTTCATAGTGAATATAATTAGTATTAAAAAGAAAAATTCTGTTCGCTGAAAATTTTCCTACCATGCATAGAGAATAGTCTAATTGCTCCAAAGTGTAGAGCTGTATATCTCTGACCTACACAGGTGTATAACTTTTTTATAGATAATAAAAAATATGAAAAAAGGATGTATTAAATTAATAAATTTTATTTTTCTTATGTTCTTATATTTACAAGTAGGATGATAAGTAAGTGAGACTTACATAAGAAACATTTGAAACAGAATTATTTAGAAACAGGAGTCACGTTTTATAGTAGTTGAGAAACATTAACTAAGTAAGTGAATTTCTTCTTAGAGCGAGAGCAGAGAGTGAGAGCAAACACATGAAGAAGAGTGCTGCAACAAATGAAGTGACCACAGCCTCACTTGCTGCTTGACAGAAGTTGGTGAATCCCTGACAAAACGCCATCCAATTCGCTTCTGCACTCCCATTATGACCCAAATACACGATCGCAGCAGCAGATGAAGCTGCTCCTGTTATTAGCCCCATCATCACCTATATTTTCATTCATCAATTTTTCAGTTATATATATACATAAATTGAAATAATGTTATTCTTTTGGATGCAAGCTTAAACTTACTGTGTCAAAGCTCACAAGTAGAAGCCTTGGCCCTACTGCGTGAGGCCTAACAATGCACACATACGAGAAGGGAAGGGAAAGGACAGCATATCCGCTTATTACTCCATTTGCGATCACGAAAAACCTGCGTATGAATGCAGCACAGCACAGAAACACCGTTCAACTTGAGCTGATACAACTTCCTCTATTACTGTTTCACAATTTACACTGTTATTAATGTGTCTAAATAAATAACTTCATATGCATACCCAAACATGGGAAATTGACTCCACTGAGCATGAAACTGGAGGAACTGCGTGAAAAATGGAAGCTGTTCTTCGTTGGTTCCCATGGTAACGGCGCTACCCATAGCTGCCCCGATGACACCCAGTCGAAGTACAAAATCTGCGATTGCAATTCCTTTTTTCCATCTTGTGAATGAGACAGAAGCCTTGGGGGAAGAAGCAGAATCTTCAGAAACAGGAACAGCCCAGGTAACATTTTTCCCTTTGTCAATGTCCTTTGTTTTCACCGTTCTTACTTGAGTAACCTCGCCGTTCATGTTCCAGTTATATCTATAATTCTCTAAACTCTTTAGTATCGGAAAGCTATAATTTGAACTTTGAAAGATTGTGTATATATATAGTAAAGAAACGCATGAGCTAGAAGGAATTATTAAAGGGGGAATGTGCGTGACTCCATGAATGGGTTAGTTATTTGTGTGAATGCTCTATGCAGTGGGAAATCATGTCAGTGTTTTCATATCAAATTGCGAAAAATAGTTGTTGGTAAGAACCTACTCCACCTCGCCCAAAAAGACCATTTTCCTATATGCCCCAACCAACCTCTTTCTGTGGCCCGATATCTATTTTTATTCATTTGCTTACGATCATGCAGCTTCATATATATAATATAATTAAATGAATAACTAGACCTGCAGATAAAATAATTCAATGAAGTTAAAGTAATAGAAATTAACACTTTTTTACCCCTCCTTCCTCATGAATCATCATGCTGTACTTTAATTATGTAAGTTTTGCATTAGTCCAAATTCATACCCAAACTAGTAAACTTATTTGATGAAAAACATAATATTACACCTGAATTAGTAAACCAACATTCGCATGGAAAAGAAAAACAGTTTGTAAACATCAACTTGGGGGTGCCTAGTGAGAAATTGGAAGACAAGAAGTTCAAAATGTGAAACGTTACATGATATGATAGAGAAGTAGTTATTGGTCGATGATTGAAATTGTAAGCGAAATGCATGCTAATGTATGATCAATTATGTATTTATATTAATTTTAATCAATAATTTTTCAATCAATAATATAACATTTCACTTTATTTTCTAAAGTGAAACTTTAAAAAATGTATGATCTCTAATATTTTAGCTTTTTCCACGGACAAAAAGGTAGACCGAATTCATTTTTATTTTACAAAATTACGAAATAAAGCTATAAGACTGGAGTCATTTTTTCGTTTGTTTTGTTTAATTTATGTGCATGTCTTCAAATTGTGTGTCTATAGTATTTATTTATCAATTCTATGTAAATTATTTTTCCTTTTCATAAGATTGATTAGAAAAGGTGGATACTTTTCATATAACTCTTGTAGTTTGTTAGTTTTCCTCTATTAGCATTTCATTTTATTTTTTCAATAATTGTTCTAAATCCTATAAATTAGTAATATTCTTACTTATCTACCCGTATTATGTAATAAGAATAATAAGTATTGAATAAAAAAATTAATATCAATGGTAAACTGAAAAACATTTCATAATAAAATTGATGGGAAAAAATATTGAATCACAATTAATCATATTAAATATTATTAAATTAATTTTCTAGAATAAATTATTAAATTTTTTCTAAAAATCATCAATAAATTAAAATATTAAACAAAATGACATTATGAATGATAAATATAAAAGAATAATTTTATAATTTTAAATTAAATATTTTAACGTTTTTTAAAATCTAATGTTAAAATTCACTTTGTTTTTTGGCTCAACAATGCTTTGTATATATAGACGCACGTTGTGGCACTGTAAGCCTACGATCCATACAAAAACTGACTAGACCCCCAAATGTTTTCGCACTTCACTGGGCTTCAGAAGAAGTTGTTGGCAGTTGCTCCACGGTACTTAATTTTTTGTACCTATATTTTCTATTTTTTTTAATTTTTATTTTTCTAAAGATACCTTTATTAAGAATTTCATTTATTCTTTCACTTTCTGACTCCATCTTCTCTTGTGATTCATTCACTTACGTCAAACTTCCCAGAAACAAGTTTTATAGCTTTTTAGAATTCAATTCTAGAATTACAAACATATGATAATTCCAAAATTTAAATTATGGAAATTTATTAAACATGCTTTCAGAGATTAAATTCTAGAAGCATATTTAACAGGATTCCATAATAAGGAACATACAATAGTTCTAAAAGTCAAATTTGGTGGATGTTGAAGAGAAAGTGCTGAAAAGCTTAAAAAATGAAAAGATTTGGGGCACAGTAACGAGGCTAAATTGTTGAAGAGATAGACGAAAATCAAATGGAGGAAGAGAGAATGATGAATTTTTCTTTAGGATGTGCCGCTCAATCAGAAAACAATTTTTCTCTATGATATCTAACCTTTCTAAACTAGAATGCATTTTATATAAGGACAAAGTTGTTAAATCTAAGAGTTTAGATCTTACGCTAAATAATAATGAAATGATAAATTCTGTTTTAAAAAATTTCAATCTTAAATTTGATCAAGAAGAGAAGATGAATGAGACTTTTGATTTTGAGATTTGTTCAAGATTATGGTTTTCCTTAAAGATTATGAAAATGGGTGTGCCCCTTGATAAAAATACACTTATTGTGAAATTGTTAGGAAATAAGGTTAACTTAAACCATTTAAAATCCAAATTGAAAAAAAATATGTGAAAAAAAAATGAAAATTTTTTTTTAGTAAGATTTGATCACATGGATGTTTATTGAAATGTTTTATTTGGAAGACCTTGACTATTATTATACCATTATATACTCATTCAATGTTGGATGCCTCTTTTTAAACATTATCATTTCCTTAAGAAATTGACAATGTGGATTAGGATTTTTGAACTCCCTCTAGAACTGTATAATAGGAACTTTTTTTCGAAAATTAGAATTGTGCTTAGGTTCAATGCTAAAAATAGATAATAATACACTATTTCTAAGTATGGATAAATTTACTTGAATTTGTGTAAAAATTGGCTTGAGAAAACAAGCAATCCCTTCATTTGAAGTGTTAGTTTAAGAATTTATAATTGAATAAGAAGGTCTCCATCTAATATGTTTTTTGTGTGGAAAGCATGATAATAAAAAGGATAAATGTCTAGAATATTTAAACACATAATTTTCTTGAAAATAATAAGGATCAAGATCCAAATGATAAAGAGAATAATAATCTTGTAGGAAGGACAAAATAATGGGAAAAAATCTCTAACATGAATAAAATAAGTAAGTCTGATACTTAAATTTTACTATGCCAAAATGGAGACGTGAGAGCGGTTCTGTTTTAATTTAGTAAACGTTTAGAAATGTTATAAAATCTCGTGCTATCCAATGTGTTGCACTTAAGAGAGCGGTTAAACAATCACTCTCAAATGTTGATATTAGAGAGCGGTTCTATGTAGAACTATAATCACAAAGTGAATATCATTTAAAGTATATCGTGAATCTGAAATTTGAAATTTCTTTCTTTGTGAGTTTTCTATTGCAAACCAAAATTAAGTTATTGTTATGTTCAAAATTTCTTCATTTTTATCACAAATCAAAATTAAAACTTATTGAGTTTTTACGTTATATTAACCAAACAGTCCACATCTGCAACACTATTAAGCAGAGAAAAGAGGATAAATTAGTGGAATTGTTCACAGTTAATAGAGGAAAAAAGGAAGAAAGAGAGAACAAAGAGAACAATAAGAAAGGTAACAACAGATGTAAAAGAAATCAACTTTGTTAACGCATAAAATACTAACAGAACCTACAGTGAAAGAGACAGAGAATAACTTTGTTAGCACATAAAAGATGAAGAAGATGAATTGAACTTACAGATGTAAAAGTGACCAACTTTGTTAGCAAGATGAAGAGATTTGAGAGCGTGCTTCATTTATAAGATCAGAAAAAAAAGACTTTAGAGAGCGCTTCTATATTAACCGCTCTCATAAGTATACATTAGAGAGCAGTTCTTTATCAACCGCTCTTAGAAGTTTACATTAGAAAATGGTTACTCTCTAAAGTGTGTGACTTTATAGTGGTTCTCTATTAACCGTTCTTAGAAGTATATATTAGAGAGCGGTTCAATATTAACTGCTCTTAGAGGTTCAACGCTAACCGCTTTCTAAATATATTATTATAAAGCGGTTCATACTAACTATTGTCTAAGTTAACGCTTTAAAAACTTATTTATATTGTAGTGTTTATAGTTCTTAGATGTTGGTAAAATGACTTTAGAGGAAGAAATTAAGTTAGGGTAAAGGACAAGATAATTCTAACAAATTAGTAAATGTTAAAGAAGATGTCTTAGGTTCAAGATTTGAGGTTCTAGTTAAGTAAATAACAATAATGACATAATTCTTGCAAATTGGAAAAATAATTTCAATTTTGAAATAAAACTTTCTAAGATATCTAAAGAAAGTAAAAATTTACCTTTAACCAGAGAAAATCTAATGATAAATTTGTTGTTTATATAATAAAAATTTAAATAAAATTAATCATAAAAAATTATTTCAAAAATATTCTCTTGAACAAAAAAAAAAAAGAAATGAAAGAAATAGAAAAATATCAATGAGAATAGTTTTTAATCTAATGAAATTAAAAGGAATAGAAAAAATGAAATAATTTTTCTTATCAAAAGTGGAAGAAATATATATATATATATATAGTCTAACTATAAAAAGTGAGGTTTTCTATTGAAGAAATTCTTGGTATAAAATCCTCTAATGAAAGGAATTGAATGCTAGTTAAATAATAAAGAGGATGTCAAAGGTAAGCCTTTACTTAGATAATCATATAAATGTTGTTTTTGAAATGTCTCTAGATCAAGAGATATTTACCACAAGTGGTACCAATTATTTAGATAAAGGAAAAAGTTTTATGCATTGTGATAATGCTATTTTCAATCTTAAATATATTTAATGAATTTTATGTTTTGGAATTATAGAGGGTTTATGTTAAAAACCTTCCCCATTCACTTAATGATTTTGATTAAAAGTTATAAATTTAGTTTGATTGCTCTCCTATAGCCTAAAAATAGTGAGAAAAAGCAAATGATGTAATAAGGAAAATTAACTTGAACAACAACACTAAAGTAGATCCTACAAGATTTTCTGACATTATTTATGGTTTATGAGATAGTTCTAAACTAGATATTTCATTAATTTTTAAATCAAATAT